TCGAGAAGCTAGGTTAGTTAGCCAATAATGAAATATCCGATATCCTATCTAGATTTCTTAGACTAAACCCCTTTCCCATATCCTCGACAACTTATTTCAGCGACCACCCATATCTCCGACATAACATTTTCCTGACAAATTTAGCTTGGTGTACTAAGCAAAAATATTGGGAGGACCTTTAGTTGAATAACAAATGGCTCCCTGCAAGAATAAATCTATGATTTAGTGAAATGATCTAAATCGATTTGCTTGTTGTCGTGTTAGCGATAATGATAACGATAACGAAAACTGATTGTGTAACAATTTATTATCGTTATACATATCTAATTACGATATCGGTATACATATACATGTACATGTACTTTGTAATATAAACATGTCCGAAATTAATAACAGAAAGTTATTAATTAAAGAAATTGAAAAAATAGCAAATAATAAGATAAAGCAACAGCCAGAATGTGAAGAGAATCCACAACCGCTATTGACAACCGAAGATAGTGTAAAGAAAGTGGAAAGGTTGAAAAAAAGATTTAGAACAAACGTAGATGATGCCGTAAATGATCAAATGGATTGGACTTACTCGGTTCAAGTAATAGAAGCTGAAAATCAAACCATTAATCAGCAACAAATTGACAGAGAAAATAAAACTATAATGGATGATTTATTGATTCTCTTTGACAATATTTTCAAATTTAATAAAAATTACGAAGCAAATTTAGAAATAATTTCTGAAAAATTTATATTTTTACAAAGTTTACAAGGTAATATACTACATAGAAAAATTCTAGGCTTTATTTATCATAAAGGTTTGAATACCAAAAAAGACTATGATCAAGCTTTGCAATGCTATCAACAATTGGCATTTCAAGGAGATGCTGTAGCACAATATTTAATTGGAGAATTATACAATGAAGAAGATTGGATAAAAAAAGATAAGAAAAAGGCATTTGAGTGGTATTTGAAATCGGCAGAATCTGGAAATCCTGACGCACAAAATAATCTTGCCATCTGCTTTAAAAACGGAAAAGGAACAATCAAAGATGAACAAAAAGCATTTGAGTGGTATTTGAAATCGGCAGAGTCTGGAAATCCTAAAGCACAATACAATCTTGCCATCTGCTATGAAAATGGAGAAGGAACGGTCAAAGATGAACAAAAAGCATTTGAGTGGTATTTGAGATC